AAATCCGTCCGGTGTATAACGGTGGTACACGTGATCCATCGATCCGCGGAGTGATCTATCGAGCGATCGGGATGCACGATCTAATCTCTTGCCTGTGTTTCACCGTGGACCGCGGACAAAACGTTCCCATCCACGAAACGAGCGTCGGTGTACGGGACACGGCGGAGGGCAGGAAGCCTCGCTTTCTAAATCATTGTCTGGAATTATTCCACGCAACGAGCGCCGGTGAAAGAGATTTGCATTGTTAATCGAAAATCGAAAGAATCGCAAAGTGCTCGGGCCGCGGAGAGGGAACGAACGAGAGGGAAATATCGATTATTCGGTGCCGCGGCTGCACAAGGGATAGCGCAATCATCCTCGATCCCCGACCGGTCGTCATTACCTATTCACTGCCATAGATCATCGACCTCATTCCTCCCGGCTTCGAGAAATCAAATTTAATTCGCGGGCCCCGGTACCCCTGATTGACCATTACTTTCTACCTCGCGAAGATTGTTGTTCTTCGGGAACGGCAATCAATTGTAGGAAAGCCGGGGCCCGAGCCGGGGCCGGGGCCGGGGGGCCCGGCCGCGGCCGCGGCGCTGCGTTCAACCGCGATTTAAGATAAACCTTTCCTGTGATTGATTGGAAAACGATGGGAATAAGCCTGCATGAAAGGGAATCAGATACGGAATGCTGCTATCTGCTCCATTAGGTGTCGCCGGCGATCGATCTCACGATTCTCTAACGTGTCTCCTGCTCTTCGACGTTCTCTCCTCCGAGCATCGATCTTCTAGATTATAGATCCTCCGATACGTTATCCGCGTCCGAACGGTGTGTACCGGTGATTAGCGCGTGTGTCTTAGAAACGAAAATCTTAGTTGCGTTCCCCTTTGTTCCGGGAAAATCGGCGATTCGACGCTGAACAGTTCGAAACACCGCTGACAAATACGGTAATGTCTCTCTAATTGACGCTCGGGTTGTCCACAAAAATGGACAATTTCGGAAGCGGAGATACGATTAATTCGCGTCTTGCGCCTCGTTTTTATAATCACCGATCTCAACAACTATAAAAACGAGGCGCAAGGCTCGAATCAATCGTATCTCCTCTTCCCAAATTGTCCATTTTTGTGGATAATCTCAGCGTCAGTTAGGGAGACATTACTGCACGCGTTAAATAATCTTCCTAGCTCGGAAGATTGTTCTTATCTTTTCGTTGAATTCCTCTTCACCTTCTGACACGTTCAGAACAATGCTTGCTCAATTTAGCAACACGCTATGCATATTTCCTACATTTTAAAGAAACAAAGAACACGAACATCCGTATCACTTACGCCATTGTCTCTGCCAATGAAATTCGATTAAGATCAACTAATGCGCGACAGAGAATTCCAATTTAACGTATTCATCGTTCGCTGGACTTCGTCCGATCTCCGGATCCTCGATAGACCAAGGATTAGCAGCAATTGATCGCCTTCGATTATTCCTTCGAAAATTGAATAAGAAGTTTTTCCTGTATGGAAAATCTCTTCTGTAATAACGTTCTTCCTCGGCAACCGATACTCCCTGGATCGTCGTTTTCCCCCCTGTCTCGGATCAGGAATTTTCGATCGCGCCGTAAATGCTTCCTGGCCGGGTTCGCAGCGATCCGACCGGCGACGGGCGACGCGACGACCGCGGCCTATGTGGAGCAGAAAATAATTGTCGCAATGGACGCGCCTAAGTGAACATTCACGGCGTATCGGTCGCGGTTTGTTCTAGTTTTTCATCGGTGGTCACGGAGCATTGGCTATCGCGTTGCGCCGGCGGCGTAGACACCGTCGTCCGTTCTCGTCGACGTCGTCGTCGTCGTCGGCGGCGGCGACGCGAACCTCCAAGGGTCGATTAAGCAATTATCCCGGCGCGATTGCCGCAACGCGATCGATTATCCGCTTCCTGGTTATATTCGCCGGCGATTATCCGCAATTTCCGCTGAAAATTAATTAATGCCCGGCGCCACGGCGCGGCCTCCTGTACACGTGACGACGTCTTTGCGTCGGTTCGACTCGATCGGCCGGATAAGATCGGTGACCGGCGACCGTGCAGAGGGGTGTGAAGAATTGAGCCAGCAATGCGCGCGGGCGGGGCCGCCCTCGCGGGCTTTGACACGTCGATCATGCTCGTTATCGATACCGCTGCTCGAATAATTCCGATTAATCGCGCGCGCGCCGCTCGGAAAAATCGGCGCAATGGCGGAATCTCGGTCGGACCGACGAGTTCGTTACGGCGAAATGCGGTAGAATGTTTGCAACGCGTCGAAGGAAAACTGGTTTGCGTTCTCGTTAAATAAAAAAGATAGAAAAGGACTCCGCGTGGACTCCGAAAAATGTGCAGCCCGGCCCGATCGGTTAATCCGCGGCGCATCGAAGCGTCCAAAGAATTCCGCTGCCCTTGTACGCGCGTCGTTTAAAACGCCTCTCGCTCACTGAAATTCTTTCCTCGCCCGCTCTCCCCACTCGATTCCTCCACCCCCTCTCGTCCAGCGAGCACACGATTTTTCAGCGGGAACGCAATAAATTTGCTCGGCGCAACGGTTGCTCAAATCGCTTCCCCATCGGTATTGTCCGGCAATAAAACTTTCTCGAGCGTAACGGCTCGCTAATATAACGAGCATCCTTATTTGCTTGTTTCTGCGGCGTTCGACGAGGTGTTTATGTGTTTATTTATCGCCCGTTTATTGCTTATACTCTCTCTCTGCCCCGCATTTTTCCCTAGCAGCTACCGTGCCGCGACTCCAATCTGTCGAATCGTTCCCTCTGCCGAGACGCGCATTCGTTTCTTCGGTTTCAAACACCGTTTTCCCAGCTGTCGTTATCTGTTTTCGCAGTCACGCCGTTATCAAATATTTTGCTTCTATCATCCAGCACGTACAGTAATGTCTCCCTAACTGATCCTAAGATTATGCAGAAAAATGGACAATTTGGGAAGTGGAGATACCATTATTCGAGCCTTGTAGCTCATTTTTATAGTTGTTGACAATTCGTAACTACAGGGTGTTCAAAAAATGTCTCGCAATCCGAAAGTGGCGGGTTCCTCGGGTCATTTGAAGCAACTTTTTCCTTTACAAAAATTTTCTCCGAGGCACTATTAAAGAGTTATTAACGAAAAACAGTGACCAATGAGAGGCGAGCTCGGCTGGCGCGAAGCGACCGAGCCAATGAGCGGAACTGGGCTTCGTGCGCTGGTTGGCTGGGCCGCCTCGCATCAGCCGTACTCGATTCTTATTGGTCACTGTGTTTCGTTAATAACTCTTTAATAGTGCCTCGGAGAAAATTTTTGTAAAGGAAAAAGTTGCTTCAAATGATCCGAGGAACCCGCCATTTTCAGATTACGAGACATTCTTGGGACACCCTGTATAAAACGAGCTACAAGGCTCGAACAATCGTATCTCCTTTTCCAAAATTGTCCATTTTTGTGGACGATCTGAGCGTCAATTAGGGAGACATTACTGTATTTCGCGAGATTTCGAAGGCCAGCCTCTACATTTTCATCTAATTTGCATAAAGATCCGCAGCCTGGTTATCACCGAGTGCTAGTCTCTGCAATTCTGCTCCGATTTGTGCTTGGAAATTGATATCGCGACGACCCAGTTTCAGACGCACCGTTTCACAGGAGACGATCTACGTAACATTTTTGAAGGTCGCCGATCTTCGCGGAACGTGCTCTCGTCGTTTAGGAGAAATCCGTGGGACGCTTCGCGTACCGATAAATCGACGACCAGGTTCGAACTCGATACATTTTCGAACAGGTTGGCTTTCTGGGTTCCCTAAGGGCTGCTGCAGTCGCATAGCGATTCCATTGGCGAAAGTTGTACGTCATTGTCAGCGACCGGCGTAATGACAGAGCGGCGCGACGCCCGGCGTCACCGCGTCAAATCGGAATTGTCGTTACTAACTGGTCCAGGACTTTCGCGCATTAGCCGCGTTTTCTATTCGCGGGAAACATCGTGGCCGTCGTCTCCCGCCGCAATATTCCTCTCAAAAGTATCTGCCGCGATGAACGCGCTTCGGATAATTGTAGAATCCTCTGCTGTATCAATTTTTTCGGTTACACAATTTAGGCGATATTTCATTAAATATTGTAATAATGTTCTGCAGTCCAAGCAACGTGCTTACAGCTTTGTAATTTACCCGTGTGTCTCTCGCAAAGACATAAAATCAGTCCAGTTGTCAGTGTCACCGATTCGTCCTTGTTCAACGTGATCTCTTACTGTTTGTTCATTTTGGAACGAATCTTTTCGAGCTTCGTCGAAAGGAACCGGCGCGCACAGATACGATCCGCGAAAGACGAAAGGCGAGAGACTATTTTTCCGTAGCCGATCGGGACGACTCTCGACCGTATCGCGAGCTTCGATTTGCACGGCCGGCGATCGCGGCGTCGCGGGTCCGAGGGTCCGGGTCCGGGATCGTTTCGCGCGCGAACCCCGGGCCCGAAGACAGCGGACAAATGGCGGGCGTAAATCACGTCGGGGCACACGTCTCGGCCGAGGAGGAAGTCTGGCGTCGCCTTAGCCGGGAAGCGAGCCGAAACGAGAAATCGCGAAAAAAGCTTGCACGGCGGAAGAACGAGATTTCAAGAATTAACAGGGATTTTCGAGCCCGGCCGGCCGCGCGGCAGGCCGTTTCACCGTCGCGTCGACATTAATATCGGCCGGGTTTTGCTCTTAGATCGATCTCGGGCCGGTATTCAGTTTCAGTTATCGCCGGTTGGATCGGCTGCCGGACCAAGGACGCTAGGCTAGATCCAACCGATTACTCGTCCACCGGCCGGCGAGATCTCTCCCGATCCTCGAAGAGGACTGACGGATCGATTTCATTATCCTTGCCGAGCGAGCTCGTACGTCTTCTCTCGCGGGCCTCCTTTCGCTAGCCCTGTAGACCGTCCGCGGCGATAGCGATTCAGGAATGCTCTCTTTCTCTCTCTCTTTCTCGCGGCTATCGTTCATCAACGCGTCAGTATAATCTCATTCTACTCTGTTACAGATTTCCTGTACCGGCACAGTGTTACCATCGATAACGTTAATACCGAGGTCGAGATACTGGACACTTCCAGGTGCGAGGTAAGTTCTTCCCCGATCTTCGGTCTAGCCACTTCGTTCGTTCGCTCGTTCGCTAAGCCGGGTGACCGTCTGAGAGCAAAACTCCCGACAGCTGTTCTATAGTTCCGTATACGCGGGTCCCACCGGGCCCCTTACCCTTCCCCGCGTCTTGTCGAGCTGTACGCGAAGTCTCGCGGCTCGAGTCGCACTGGGACCACTGTCGGATAACTACTCGAACAAAACGAATCGGTTTCGTGCCGCGAGAACAGCTATTTGACAGCGGGCCCAGCGCGATTCTAGTCGCGAGACTTCGCAATCGGCTAGGCAAGACGCCGGGAAGGCTAAAGGGCCTGGCGGGCCCCGCTGTGCGAAACTGTAGAGCAATTGTCGAGAGTTTTATTCGGAGATGTACAGCCGCATTTAGTCTGAATTTCGCGTCTCGTACCGTAGCGTCTCTCTCTCTCTCTCTCTCTCTCTCTCTTTCTCGTGTCAGGCCGTTAATTTCTCTCGGCCGAAACGAGATTATGGTAATGGGAAACGGCCAGGGAGATCCTAACGCCAGGCTCTGCTCTTATTGACTTTCTTTCCTGCGAAAGCTACTCGCGGGGTGGCGAGTCCGCTTGAGCGCGACCGACCGACAAGGAATCTGGTCTTCCACGGTTCTGGCGACTGTCTCGGATTCGGTAGACCGTGGCTCTTCTTTCACGCTCGGGAATCGGCACGTTCGCCGAACGATACGGCCGTTCTTCGCGATCGGCGTCCCCCATTTTGCCGCGCGACGTCCGATTTTCAGCGGCGTCCCGCCGGCGACATCCGAAACGCAAGTGCAATTTCTCCGAAAACGCGCGAACGGCACGCTCGGCCGCGAGCGTCAACGCCGAGTTTTTCGCGGTCGAACGGCCGCGAGCGTGAAAACTGAACTGTTAGGTGTATCAATGAATTATCCCGCGGTGTCGAAGAGATTGAAGGCTTTCATTCGGTCGTGACAGCGGCTCGGGAACGAGGAGAGAACTCCGCGGCGGCTTGTTGCCCGTTGATTATCGGCGGGCCGTTCTTTTTCCCGCGGAAACCTCGCCACCTAATGATCCCGGATTATTGATGGATACATGACACAGATTGCCGTTAAAATCTCACTCGGACACGGCCGACTCGCGGCGCGGCGCGGCGCGACGCGGCGCCGCTCGGTGAAAATGTACATTTACGGCCGCGCGTTTATTTGACAGACTGATTTGCCCGCGTGAGTTATATCTAGTCGCGAGCGTTCCGTACCGGCTGTAAATTATCCACGCTTGCAACGGGATCGTCGGCTTCGATTTCTGTTTCACGCTGCTGCCACGCCGGGCATCGCGCGTCTCCGCGCCGCTCCGCTCCGCTCGCGCGTCCTCTCCTCTCCTCTCCCACTTTCCATCTTTCCAGCGAATTTCCAGCGCACCTTCCGTGCGTGCTGGATACCTGGCGAGGCGAGAGACCCCCTCCGTCTAAATATATCTTCTTCTCGTTCGGGCCCCGAGGCGGCCAGTCGATGGGGGCCCTTAAGGGCCACGTCTGTCACACGTCAGCCGTACAGGGAAAATAACAAGCGTGCACACCTCTTCCCTTGCCCGCCTCTGCCGCCCCTCCCGGTGCTCTCTGCCCACATGGTCCTCGGCCGGTGATTTTTTGGTTATCGATCCCTCGCATGGGAGACCGTTTTCGTGGAACTTTCGTTTTCGTCTTTCAACTCCGGAATGCTATTCGGCCCGCTCGTAAACAACTTCCGCCGCGCGTATTGCAAACATTCGCCGCCCAATAATGAGAATCGTTGCGCCGGCTGCTGCCGACTGTTGCCGGATGCGGCGGGACGAAGGGACGATTCGACGTAAAGCTCGGCTGATCGTTATGCGAAAGAGAAACGTATGTGCCGGCAGCTTCGAACTCCGGTGTTGTACTTTTTGGAACTTGCGGAGAAGCTGTTATACGGCTGTTTATTCTTGCCCGGTTCCCGACACAGAATGCACAGGAAATTCCTCGCAATTTCCTCTTTCGGTTTGTAAACGAAAATGGTAAATTTGGGGATAGCAGATACGATCATTCTTCTTCCCTTAGACTGTCCACGTAGTAGCAATGCAGTTAATGTTTTTATGCAAAATAGAGATTTCACAAGACGACTCTAGGAAACAGAAATGAAAATATGCAGTCGATTTATTCAGCAATTTCGATCGGCTGAAAATCGTGTAACAACGAGATATTAAATTCTTCCTTACGTCTTTGCAATTTTATATATTTAAGCTACTCGTTTCTGCCACGAACGCGTAAAATCTGCGGTCCGCCAAGACACGAAAAAATATCGAAGGACTTCGAGACGATAAAAACCGTCTTAAACGGTCTGTTTTCGAGCGCCGCGCGACGCCGCGGCTCGGCGAGCGTCCCGTACGCGCGTCGAAGTCTCCGATCGGCGAGCCCGCGCCTCGCCGAGCCGCGGATGGACATCTTCAGCGATCAGTGTCAGGGACAACGCGACCAACAAAATCCGCATTCTAGCCGGTTGCCTTATGTACTCTTGTCCGGCATAATTCTTGCCGTTAGAAACGTATCGAGGCTCCCGGAGGGCGTGCGTCGAACGCGAGCGCGCGCGCGCCTGCCTATCCTTCTCTCCGGCTCTCTTTCTGCGTTTCTTCTCGACCGTTTCCTTTTGCATTTTTTCCTCGCGCGTAGAAGCGCGCTCGCCGCTGTGTACCGCCTTTTATATTTATCTGCCTCGGACGGCTGTAAACACGACTATTTCAGTTTATGGGCTCGGGGACGCGGACTCTAACCGCCGCGAACACCGGGAGACGCTCCTTTTTTTCTTCTTCGTCGTCGTATTCTTCGTCTTCTTCTTCTTCTTCGTCTTCTTCTTCTTCTCCTCCTCCTTGTTCCTCTTCTTCTTCCGCCGCCGCTTCTGCTTCTGCTTCTGTCTCTGCTTCTGCCTCTGCTCGAGGCAGGCGTTAGACCGATGTTCATTGTGAAAGTCACGATGAATCATTTGCTCGCTGGGCATGCGACGACGAGACGCGTTTCGCAATCGGCTGCCGTCTCGAAGCCGGCTTTTCGAGGGACCAGACACTTTGCTAGCGAACGTTTCAAGGCTCCTCGCCGAAGACGCTGCGAAATAACACATTTCTTTTTCACCGCCGCGCGAGAAATCTACGCGACAGCGGCGGATACCGTTCTACAGAATTTTAGCGCAGTTTCTTTATGTGTTGACTCGGGGTCTACGTCAACAGGTTTTCATGCTTCGTCGGCAGTTTCATCGAGTTGCTGTTTTGCGACTCTTTTGCGAGCGATTCGCGGAACGAATAAAATAATATTATATATATTATATATTATATTATATATAATATTATAATATTATCTATTATTATTATATTATTATATATATTATATATATTATATTATATATATAATATTATACATATTATATAAAATATTATTATATATTATTATATATTATTGGCACATCGTAAGATCAATGTCATCGAAAGTTTCGTCCCGATCAATATTCGAGGTTCCCCCGATGCAGAAAAGTACGGTTATCGGCAGCTTGTATCGCTCCGTTTTTCAACGTTGTTCCCGTGTATTTTGCGAAACCGTGCGCTCGATGTTCCGTCGGTGATTCAGTCTTTCGAATGCTTCGGCAGAGTATAAACAAACTCCGCGTGGTCAAGGGATATTAAGATTATTTCACTTTCCGATGTTGCAACGCGCGCGTTGCACGTGAGCGAAAATGTTATGCTTCGGGCAGACTTTACGAGTCGCAATCCGATACGCCTTTAACATTGTTACAAGCGCGTTTGTTTGCAAAACGATCTTTTCTTTTCCTTTTTCTTTTTCTTTTCGTTTTGTTTCACTGTCGTCGGAACCCGGGAATAAGTTCGGCGCGCGGCTGAAACGTTAAGTTTTCTAATTTAAATTTATATTAGAAACCTGGCCGGTCGTAGTTTGATTTCTATGCGATGCCGGTTCTCATGAATCTTAAACGTCGTTCAACCGATTTTATTAGCTAAACCATACGGTGGGTCACAGTCGGCCGGATGTGTACTTTAAGTTAACATACGCGCAGCGACCGCCGTTGATCATTTTCATTCATGAAAACGCGCGGCAACTTGCGAACGATGCCCCGATGTAAATATATTTTTTCGTTGGATATATTGTAAAATCCCAGAATTCATTCGTTCGTTTCTCGTTGATAAAACATGCTCGCGACGCAGCGTTACCGCGTACACGAATTTATAAAGTCGAAAGACCCGATTCAGATCGCGTACAATTTTTAATTATCCTGGTTCGCGATATCGGAGAACGCGCTAAAAATTAGATGCCCGATGCAACTTATCGGTTTTCTGATTTATAAGATCGAAGAATACAAATTCTCGAATTTCTGTGATCAGAATCTTGCTGTGAAACGATTGCTTTGATCTCGCTTCCGCAGTTCCCTAATTTTCTCTGAAATGCGGATGCGGTTCTTCGTGCGGCGAAATCGGAAGATCAACGATAGCCCATGCGATCGAAGTAACGCGTTGTACAAATTACACGGATCTCGTCTTATCAAGCAACAAATGTATCCCAGGGAACACCGGTCGAACAATCGTTCCGACGACCTTCTAATACCCGGTGATTTACACACAGTTTTTGAGCAATTCGACCAGCAACCGTTGCCAATAATTTACGACGGGTAGAACAATGGCCGCCGAGACGGTAATAGAAAAAGACCACGGCAGAATCTCAATGAGGATTCCGCTCTACCTGCGACAGGTGAACACAGCGATCCGTGAACGCGGCCTCAGCCACGATCCTCCGTCTCTCTCTCTCTCTCTCTCTCTCTCTCTCTCTCCTCTCTTTCTCTGTCGGTCTCCGCGCATCGATGTGTGCTAGCGTTCGCGCGTGCAGTCACAGTCGCCTAGATACGAATTTAAAGGCGATCGTTATTCAATTCAAATACGCGCGGCTAACGGGCCGTGTCGTAGGATTTCCGCTTCGACGTTCGCGTGCGCTTCGTAACCGTA